TTTAAACAACAACTTAGAAAGCATAAAATTCTTTATCTAGAACAACTCTGTATAGCAGACAATATAAATCTACTAGACTGGACACATTTATCACCCAGACTCAAACACATCCCAAAGGTAAACTACCTCTGTGGTTTAGTACATTAGAAGACTTAGTACTTGAAGATAAACACAACCGTATACTGCTTAATCAGTATCAACAAACAGGAACTAATATCTTTGCTATTAGCTTTTATTCTATTCCTAAAAAATCCAAGCCCTGGATAATTACTATAAATGACAAGGAAATCATTTTTGGAAAAATTCGTAAACAGTATCCAGATACAAAAGAAGCCTCCATTACACACTGGCAAGCAAATTTCGATCTTAGCATTACTAATTGCTACTCACTTCCACCAATTCATTGCTTACCCTGCTCAGGATGCCAACTTAATTCTAATAGATTAGACTCAGCTTGTACCTTAAAAATATCTACTATTACATTTGCCAAATTCTTTGGAAGAACATTTAACAATCAACTTAAATTTAATGCCAATTATATGGACCTTATTTTTTCTACAGCTATTAAATTTCCACTACCAAACCTGGTTTTACCAACACCACCTACTATTCCGATCATAGACTCAATTGTAACTCAATCTTCCTTCCTGAAGAAATAAGAAATAAACTTGAAGAAATATCAATTAATAACCTGAACTCTAATCTATTTAATTTCTTTACTGATGGATCTGTTATTGATATTGGTACTGACCAATGCTCTATAGGAATTGGCTGGGTTCAAGTTAATAATGATAATCAAATAACCTATCAGTTTAATGCTCAAATTAAACTTTGGCCTACTTCCTACAAGGCAGAACTCTTTGCTATTTTATCAGCTATCTCTACAACCTCTCGCAATTCTGTAATCAATATTTATACAGACTCTCAATCTGTTATTTTATAGTTATTGTGAAGCAGTAATTGACGATTGTATTAAACTTTTATATTTGTATAGATTACGTATTAATTAAATCTTTGTTTTCATATAAAATTACATTACCAATTAAAATTTGAGTATATATATAAATTTTTTTACATTGTTTTACATTTTCTCTTTTTATTAACCCTTTCATACTATTTTTTTTTATATCCATATAAACTGAAATGACTAAAACTAATAAAAAAAAAACTTACCAAAAGCCAACCCAAGAACAAATTCAATATCTGTGTGATAAATCTAAAGTTCGTAATACAGAAAAGTCAACACTTAATTGGATATAAAAATTTTAAAAGTATCGTTCTGATGTTGGGTTAGAAGGTACTGCAGAAGAAGTTGATAATGTAACCGAATTAGAAGTTCAACTATGTGAATACTTCACTGTTGCTGAAAAAGGAGATGGATCACCATATACTGTTTCGTCATTATTAGCTACAGTAAAAGCAATCAACAGGTTTTATAACTCGACTATTAGTAAAGTAAGGCCTGTTAATTTATATGACTGACAAGCATTTCCAGATTTGTGGACAGTACTTGATGGTAAAACAAAAGATCTTTCTGAAAAAGGATATAGTAAAACAAATGGATCAGATGCTTTGACATTTGAAGAAATTAGAATGATTTTAAGTCATGAAGCAACATCAAGAGATACACCTAATGGTTTATTATGCAGAATTTTTTTTTATAACGCTATTTTTTTAGCTTTAAGAGGAGGTGAACATTACACGCTTATGGCAAATCATTTTCACAAGAGAAAAGATGGAGGTTTTGATGTATATATCTATAAGTTAAAAACAAATCAGCGTGGGTTAAACAACCTTGGATCTGCTGATAAAATTACAATTTCTGCTGAGAATTGCCGATTACAAAAAATATTTTTCAAAAAGACCAGTTGATGCTAACTCTGCATTTTATTTACATCCTGTTGATACAAAGGCTGCACCTAGTATGTTATTAGAGATTTAGTTTAATCGATTTTTTTTTTAACATATATATTGTATATATGCACTAACTTTTAATTTATATTTTTCTATTTTAGATTATTCTTTAATTAATATCTAGTATCAAAAGAATCGGCTTGGTCAATTAAAAATAAAAACCTTTATGAAAACACTTGCAGAAAAAAACTGGAATTAACTGTGAGGAACGTAAGATAACTAATCAAGCAGGTCGTAAGACCCTTGTACAACGATTAAAGGATATTGGTACAACAGATTATGAAGTATCAACAATTACACGGCATCGATCTTTATCTGGAATTGCTCGTTATGAAAGGCCAAAGGATGGTGTTCAACAATTTGCCTTAAATAATTTAATAGCTTCGATAGATTCTTCTGAACCTGTAACTGCTACATCGGGTAAGTAATGAAAAATAATACTATAATAAATAAATATAAATAAAAAATAACATTTTGTTTTTACAGATACTCAACGCTCTCTTTCTGCGAATACACTTCCTACTAACAACTTGTACCAAGGATTTAAATCCGCAAGACAAATTTATCAAGGCAAGTTTTTTTTATTAAAATAATTTTTTTAAATTTTGCGATTCTAATTCTAATTTATTTATATTTACTAGCCAACCTTGTATTGAACATGCCTTCTAATCTATCAAAACAAAAATCCCAAGTATCAACATCACGATTAACAAACCAATTAGCATTATCAGCTCCAGAACCAACATTACAGTTAACAGACCCTCCAACACTATTGAGCCCGGAAGTCTCAACACTAACAACAAACCATCCAGCATTATCAAGCCCGGAAGCTCCAACACTAACACCATTAGCAAACCCAAGTTTGAGATGTCCATTGCAGCCAATATCTAATAACTATGCTGAAACACAAAAATTGCATGAAATAATCGAAATTCAGGAATCTCAAAAAGAATTTTTTCAGAGAAATTTATTTACGAATTCAAACATTACATTTCATATACATAACCACTATTATGCATCGCAAAAATAGATGTTTTTAACATTACATTAATAAATATTGAAACATTTCATATTTGATTTGTAAATATGTACGTTAGTAAAAAAAAATGAGTTGCAATGACGTAATCTATACAAATATGAAAATTTTTAGTATAGTCGTCAATTACTTGGCAGCACAATAATTAAAGTTATAAATTTTATAATAGTAAATCCAATTTTAACTCAAATAATTTAGTGTAGAGTAAATATTTTCGGTAAGGAGTATATCATTATTTATGTAAATCTTTGTATTTAATTTTTGTTATTCGTGTTTATTTAAGGTGGTATAATTAGGGATGTTATCCTGTTTCGTGTAACATAAAATAGTTTTTCAAATAACTTGTTAAAGCAACTTAGCAGAGAATTAAAAAATCATACTCGAAACAAATAATTTCTTCCAAGCAATTTTTAGCAACCCGGTTTCATAAAAGAGTTTCTAAGTATTAAAATGATAATCTCTACTTCATAAAAAGCGTCGTGAACGAGTTTAATTAGTCAACATAAGTATTTATTCACGTTCATGCATATTTACTACGTATAAAATTTATTTTATTTATATTAAATTAGAAAATAAGTATTAGTGCACTTGTCGATTGACTAAAATTAGCCCCTGAAATTAGATATTTTTGCACGCATTAGCTGGTAATTTTAGGCAAATATAATTCAGTGTCACGACATTATTTTTAATCAATGTGTCAATATACATGTGTGCCTAAATTGCCCATCTTAATAAAAAAGTAATTACGGCATTTAGGCTGCCGAAATTAATCTTATAAAGTGCCGAAAATAATTTTTATATTTGCCGAAATTATTGCCGAAAGTTTTTCAACTCTTTTCATCAAAATATATCATATGGTATAGTTATTTCGGAGGGTTTCATATAAAAAATTTAGCAATGCTGAATTGTTTGCCGAAAATACATTTTTTCAAAAATAATTTAGGCACACATGTATATATGTCAAACAGTGTTGGTGAATGAATAAATTTTATATAGAAAAAAATATTTAAGCGGATCAAGTGCATTTGTCATTGTGATGGATATTTAAATAATACGTAATGTAATTTGATAAAGTTTATTACAGGAATAAATATTTTTATTAGTTAAAAAACGTTCAGTTGTCTTTTTTTAATACTTTGGCAAAATTTACCATTAATTGAACATCCAAGAAGATCACTTAAGGAGCTTATCATGGATTTAACGCTCATCATTAACGAATTTACATTATTCATTATATTAAAAAGTTTAATGAAAAATAAGAAAGACCCAAAAAGCAATTACAATTTTTGCCAGCAATAAATGTTATTATCCGCCTTGCAGGCATCTTTGCCTTCTTGTCTTTATTAGAAATCAATAAAATTCCACATTGTACACATGAATACAGTGTTCTTTTCGAATATAAAAACACAACCACTATCACTACAAATTACTGCGCACAGTCTTTGAGAGGTAGACTAAGTTGACATTTTTGTAGAGAAACTCTGCAATGAAGTAACATCCAAAACAAGTTCTTCACTTTTATTTTTGTACTCATCAGTCATTGAACGTAATAATAAAAAACTAACATTGTTATAAATTTTATTATAGTACGATAAACAGAGGTTATATACTACTTATTTCTACGTCACTATTAGATTACCTGATTCTCCATACATATGTACATCGGAAAAATTGCCTTTCCACATCTTTTTGAAAACAACTGTAATCAGTTAAATTTCAATATACTGTAGTTAAACACGTATCAGACATCTTTTAGCCTGAATAAGATGGTTCGTTAAGAGAATATATAAGGTTCTAGGTTTATGTTGAGAAATCCTCAGCGTGGAATTTGTATCAACAGATGCATCGACATCGCGCTTTATTTCTGTCTCATCGGCTTCAATTTAGCCTGCTGTACATTTAAGTGTTATCTTCCTTATTGCACCTGAAGCAGATGATGTCGGTTTTTTATTTCTTCTTGTCTAAGCAACAGAATGATCATTGAAATTGATAAAAAAAATATGATACTTATTTTCTTAATAGTTTGAAACAATATATTTTTAATCAGAATTGATGGATACTAGATGATATTGCTAGTGTAATTTTTGCCCCACATCCACCCTTACGTACTACGGTTCCTTTTCTTTAATTTTTTTTTACGTTGTGATGCATTGATGGCATCGAAATTTTGGCGAGTTTGTGCTAAACGCATTTTCATGTCTAAAAAACGTATTAAGGATTTATTGACTCATTATGTCCTTTTTTGGAAAAATTTTTTAAGAAAAAAAAATTCAGTGATAACCTCTATATATTGTTGAAAACACCATCTCCGATTTGGAATCCGTTTAGTCCGTTTGGCTTTTCCAGTACATTTAAGTGTTGCATCATTGTAAAAATTGAATTAAGTAAAATATAGAGTAAAATAAAAAATTAAATGAGTGAATGTATTGAGTGATATAAAACAAATTAAAGTTGGATATTTTTTTGTTATCGATGTTGATACAAACAAAAAGAAAGTTGAATCGGTAGCATCTTTCCTTATTCACAGTATAGCATAGTAATCGTGGGTTCTACAAGTCCTTTTTCGCTTGACAGCCTCAACCTATTCAGTAGTATAATAATGTATTTGGCGATGGAGCTTGACGATTGTTATTTTCTCGACCATTTGGAGTTTTTCCAGATTCAGTTTGCTTAAGATATCTTTATGCTTCTGGTGTCGGGAATAAGTTTATTGATTTTTGTGCAAATTTAATTGCGCTAGGTAGATTCCTTGATGATAAGTGATCTCGTGCTATTTTGAAACACCGTAGTGCTTCGTCTTTATAAAAAAACCATTTAAGTGTCATTTTATATATTCACGGTATTTACACTGGAATTGTTGTGCCTGGGATTTTGCATATAGTTATTCATCATTATATATATAAAAAAAAACATATATCATTAGGATAACTCACCTTTGCTTCATTAAGATTCAAATCGTTACTAAATATTAACGAAATTTTATCACTCCTTTCCTTTTTATAATAACCTCTAAAATTGATGTACGTTTCATTTTTTTTAATCGGACTGTAATGGCTATTCTCATTACTTAAATCAGAACTTCACAATCTTTAACTACCGTGCCAGGTTCGCTAACGTAGATACCATCAACAACTTTCAAATATACTTTTTCACAATGCATCTGATTGAGAACATTTTCCAAATCATTATCAGTCAAGATAATTTCATCTTTAATATTAAAAGAAAGTTTAACTTGAACCTCTTCAACACTAACCATTCTAATAACATTTTCTTCTGAAAGCTACGGATTTGGATTTTAACTTCAGTTCCATCTTCTTATATATGATCATTAATTAGAAATGAGCATAACATAGCTTCTCTTCTTTTCGGTTCTCGATAATTCCAGTAATTATATTTTCAATATGAGATTTGACTGTACGTGTTTACGAGAACCACGCAAAATGATAAGTTTGTCTTTTTTCCTTTGAGTCGTTGTATCTCCAAATTGATATAGCAAAGATTTTTAGCATTACTTTTAACGTGAACAGATTTTCACCGATCAGCTCTAGAATATTCGATTAATCAGAATTAATGTTGGCTATCCAAACATATAGTGAACTTAACGGCTTCAAGAATGTCAATAAACTACCAGGACGTTCGGATTAAAATCTGTCATATCAAATTTATAGTTGTTTTGATAAATTCTCGGTCAGCGGTAAAATTTTCATTCACTACAAATTTCAAATAGTAATAAAAAAACTAATATCAGTAACATATTTTAACGTTACATTAAAAGTCAGATTCAGAATATGTCGTTATGCAAAAAATATAAATAATTTAAATATGGGTTAAAAGAAAAATATGAATATTTTTACTTAGTTCAAGCTGATAGTGTTTATCCCACCGCAAACGAAGGAATTAAATTTCCGTGTTGATTATTATAAATCAGAAAGATAAAGCCTCTGCGAGTGAGGTATACTATCGCCAGCAGAAATATTTAAAATCTGAAGAAACTTCAAAAGATATGAATATCTCTACTTATTTAGGCTAATATTGGTTTATACCATCGCAAAACGGAGAAATTAAATTTCTATATCGATTTACTATAATAAACACAAAAGATAAAGCTTCTGCGAATGAAATATACTACTGTCAAGTCCGATTACGGTTATACGGGGTCTTCGTTACTTCGGCCTTCCAATTCAACTCGCTTGGCTTCCCACGCAGTCTGGAGTATCGTTCCAGGTACTACCACCAATATACTACGACGTTGACCACACAGTTTTTCCTTTAGAACGTTTTTCACTAAGCTAAAACTTATTCGAAAGCCAAATCTTATTTTATTATTATCAAGATCGCTATATTTAAATACAAGATTATCTTCGGATATATGTTTATCCGGGTTACACGCATTAGACTATCACTAGATTAGACTTTTAATTAATTCATGCATTATGCGAAATCCACTTATGCAAATCCCGATCTTAGTCAGGATCGGGTGACCCGTGATCGTACCTAACCCTAGCAATACCGATACAAGGGGTGTTGGTCGTCACCATGACACTACCGCAAGCAGAAATAATTCATAAATTTAAATACCCCACTAATTAAATAAGCTGATAGTTTTTATACTATCGCAAAACGGAGAAATTAAATTTCTATGATTTATTATTGTAAATCAGAAAGATAAAACCTCTACGAGTGAGGTATACTATCGCCAGCAGAAATATTTAAAATTTGAAGAAACTTCAAAAGTTATAAATGTCTCTACTTATTAGGCTGATAATGTTTATGCCATCGTAAAACGGAGGAATTAAATTTCTATATCGATTACTATAATAAACTGGAAAGATAAAGACTCTGCGAGTGAGGTATACTATCGCAAGCAGAAATATTTAAATAGAAAATATATAATATAAAAATCTATATTTAAATCGAAGGAACAAATAAATATCTATATATAATTAAGGTAACTTATCTTTGCTAGTGAGAATGAGAGGGTGTTTTCGATAGTGATCAAAAACATGCATTTTATACTAAACGAACTTTTATTGGTTATTTACGCGGCCATTCTTCTCCCGATTTGTCAATCAGTCACGTAATAAATGCGGTGCATTGCAGATCATAACGTGATCTAAACGACCACTCACAACAGGGGCAGTCAAATATTATTTCGATAATTTGAAGATATTTCGATTATTTTTTGCAAATACTTCAATAAATTTGCAAATATTTTGATAAATTTCGATTATTTTTGCAAATATTGCGATAAATTTTATTTTTTTGTCACATTACAATTCGAATTGCATCAACATTCTGTACCTGAGATTGAAGTATAACTTTGCGGCATCCGTTTTTATACAACTTAGTAAAAAAAAAAGTTAAATCTGATTCTGGAGGTTTATGTTTTATTTTTTATAATAACAATATGTATTATGAAAATTTTTGGCCAAATAGTCACAACATGATCCAATCAGAATATGAATTAGGTGTAATGTGACATTGTTCTTGTATTATGATTGGTCAATTTTAAAGATCTGCAAAAAAATTCGATAAATTTCGAAAATCACCAAAAATTTCAGAAAATTTCGATAAATTTTTTTAAAAAATTTTTGACGGTCCCTGACTCACAACTATTCCAGGATCGCCTATGTAATTTTTACCATCACATGATTATCGACGAAAATAAGCCAATAATGTTACGCGATCAGAAAAATTCAAAACAACCCTAACCCTAACATAAACGAACTTCACGTGATGGTAAAAATTTTGTTGTCACCCCTGGGGAAGATGACCACTCACATACGCGTTAAAGTAGAATAGGATATTTTTGGGGATTGCTACAGACACAGCAAAACACGTGACTTATCTTCTTATCGACAACTACCCCTCGGAAAGTCTACGGACACGTACCGATCACGTGATATTTCATCTTACGGACACGTACCAAAATAATATATTTTTTTTTGATTTAAAAAAACGATCTGACAAGACTTCTGTACTAAGTTAATCTTTTTTATTACTCAAATAAAATTT